AGCCCCTAGTAGAATCTTGCTACGTTCGTAGCTTCTTGTTACTAGTAGCGATGGCCTCCAACCTGCTTGCAATGGCCTCCACCTGAAAGCTTCTAGCTACTAGTTTGGAGGCGATGGACCTGGGGTTGGGATGTGGAACGGCGTTGAGCCCACCTGGTCCTGAACCTAGTGTGAACGTAGTGTGAAAGCATGTGAAACCCTTTTAAAGCGCGAAGCCAAGCTCTGACCGCCTGGAACCTTGGAACGGTGTGACTCTGGAGCCAGGCCCTGACCGCAAGTAATTCTACATTCTGGAACCAATGCATTCCGTTCGGGATGCAGGAGTCCTAGCAACCGCGTAAGTGCGCTTCATGGATATTCATACTAGTATGATGAAACATAAGCGGCTTTAAGCATGCTATATGTCTGGAGTCTGTGCCGGTGTCAGTTTTTTGTACATCAATTACTGTAAAGCCTGCGCGCCCATGACACCTTGCAAATAGTTGTCCACACAAAATAGACCCAAGGACGAGCAAGGCATAGCGAGATATATTAATTTCCATTGTGCTGCTTTCATGAAGCCTTCTGGGACAGGTTGCAGTGAGGTGAGTCGATCTGGCCGCACGCGGTTGATCTTCGCCACAACGGCCATTGCAATGATCCAATGTCTACAAGATTGCTCCTCCTTCACACATTTGATCATTGATGAGGTGCATATCAGATGCTTGGACCGCAGCCAAGCGGCTGACATGTGGGAGTCGTTCGAAACGTTCGCGGAAAGAAAACTGCAGTCTGCGAATGGCCGCGAAAGGACCACGAAAGGCCAACAGTAGGAGCCTCAAGAATTTGTGTTCTAATGCCTGCAATTCACAACATGCAGGTGAGAACAGGCAAGCTAAGCCACAAGAACAGGTCGAAGTATGACAGAGCAAGCTGAGGAGATGCACACATCGATTTTCTGCTCAGCTTAGTGGTCACGCGGGTGCTTTTGCGCAACAAGAAGGTCAAAATCATCTTGATGTCGGCCGCTATGGACAGTGTGAAGATTGCCCGATACTTCTCCCACGCTCTTGGAGGCACTATTCCAAAACCCTTGGACTTAGAGGCTTGCCGACAGTACAAGCTTTCAATCAAATATCTCGAGGACGTCCCCTTTTTCAATCAGAAAGGAATCCACAGGCGTGGGCTAGATGGCGCTTGGGATGTCCTTGGGCTTCCAGCAGATTGGTCACAGGAAGACGTTGCTGATTTGTATGCAGAGTTCATTCGCTCTTGCCATCAAGAGCGGGCTGCGCGAAGGGACTTTGCTTCTTTCCTGGTGTTTTTGCCGGGCAAGAGAGAGCTGCAGCTCTTGTGGGAGAGGTTGGATGACGTGACAGATCTCCAGGTGAAATGCATTTTCGGTGGGCAAACCATTGAAGAGCAGGAGAGAGTCCTGTCAGAATCGCATCAACGTGAAAGGAGCGTAATTCTGGGGACCGATGTCATCGAATCCAGCGTCACCATTCCGGACGTTGATTTGGTGATTGACACCTGCGAGCAAAAGCGCCTCCGCTGGGATGGAGGGAAGAACCAAAGTTTGCTTACGTTGGTTTTGGTGAGCAAAGATGAGGCCAAGCAACGCTCAGGAAGAACTGGGCGAGTGCGAGACGGTGAAGTCATCCGCCTTGTCAGCAAAGGGTGCTTTGATAGGTTGCAGCCTCATGCCGAACCCCAAATCAAGCACAGCAGGTGGGACATGGTTATCTTATGTTTTCTTCATTAATGAAAGGGTTGCTTCACAGAAGAGTGAGAGTGTTTAGTTGAACACACGCCCTGGAAATCCATGGAATAAACATAGAACCTGAAAAAACGTTTATTTTTGAGGGCAATCGTCTTCCAAAGGTCCAGTTTCAGGTTCCATGTTAATCTTCCCCAGTGTAATACGCATGAAATTTACAAGCAGCTTAAAGCCTGGGGACCTGGGTTCGGATTGAGTTTTGCTTGACATGGAGGCTAGAAGACCTGCTTCTGTCCCTGTTTGAGTTGCCCAACCTGGGTGATCCACGTCAGTTTCTGGAGAAGATGCCGGATGCGCCGGACAAAGCTCGTGTGGACCAAGCCATCATCAGGCTGTTGGAGCTAAATGCTCTGGCCAAGCAGGGTAACGCCCAACCAAAACCCACATTCTTTGGACGGTTCTTACAGAAAATGCCTTTGGATCCTGACGTCGGCTTTCTTGTGATGAGCGGGGTTAGGCTGCAAATTGTTCAGGACAGTTTTCTTGAGTTTCCACGTGTGTGATGCGTTGGTGTTTGCAACATTTTGTAAACATGCAAAGTATGCGATGGGCCTCAGCGTGGCCAGGAATGTGCTATTTTGGCCGCAGTTCACCAACGAGGGGACCCCTTCCTGGACAGCATGAATCTGAGCCCCGAGGAAGTGAACGGTCTGTGGGAGGTGCGTGATGCCTGCAGCCCTGGGCGCGCAAAAGGTCGAGATCGTCCACTGCCTGGCGACTTGATGGCAGGACTGGGAGCTTACAAAGCCTGGCAAGCTCAAGTGAAGAACCAGACAAGAGGAGGTTGGACCTGGGACATCAAGGATGAAGCTGTTTGGTGCGCTCAGCATTTCCTGAGCTTGGAGAGATTGCACGAGCTTGAAGAAATGGTGGTGCAGATCCGTGATGTTTTGGAAGAACTGGGCTATGCTTCGAGCCTTCCCCAAGCCGACAAAGACAGAATGAGGCAGAGGAGACAAGACAAAGTTGGCACTTCTTTGGCTGCCAGGATTCGCCCAATGCTTCATGCAGCCCAGGACTTTTGGCGCCTGTTGCGTGATCAAAGGGATCGGGATGCCCAGCTGCTTCTGGCTTGGTGCATTGCAGCCAGCTTCACAAGTGGCCTCATTGAGGTGAAGAACGGTTCCAGCACAGAGCAGTTGAAGTACAAGGCCAAGAATAATCGGTCGCATCAGGTTTCAGAGGTTTTGAGACGGCAAGGATTCCACGTGGTAGATGGTCGCGTTTTGCAAAAGGGTGATGTACAGGTGAGCTTCCAAAGCCCTCAGGAAGCTCACAAAGCTTTTCAGATTGGGCAGCTGGTGAACAACAACATGATGCCGTGGAGGGCAGCAGACCCATGGGGGCGGCCACAGCAGCGCACATCAGTGCATCCCCGAAAATGCTATGAAGGATCCCCCATCAAGATCCTTCCATCGTCGCTTGCGTGGCTGCCCACAACGGAAGATGCAGTGCTTGTCGCCGGTGATGTCCTCCCAATCATGAACCACAAGCGCACGTCGATGACGACTCTCGTCAATATTTTTGGAACATTTTGGAGCGCTTTTGCAGAATATGATTGAAACCAGTTTCCTTAGCTTTTGGCAGCTGAGGTATTTCTGTACCAAGTGCAGTTCCGTGCCTGCTGGGATCATCCCATTCATTTTGTGCGCCACATACCCTGCAGCAACTGTTGCAAAGCAGGCCCCACGCGTATATAGGAGACCTGCCGTTGTCAACCCATAATAAGCACAGGTCGTGAGCGTTGAACTCTCACAGGCTCGACCGCGCCAGGCTGGGATTTGGACTGTCAGCACCCTGATCCATGGGCAGTGCGAAGATGAGCGCTACACTGCGCCGTCGCCAAAGGCCAGGCCATTCCTAATGACTTTCGCTTGGATAGATTGAGAGAAAAACTGAATGCGAAAGGTCGCGGACCTGCTGGACAACATCAGAAATAGAATGGACACAGAGTTTGGCCTCAATCAGAAAGAGCGCCACCGGATTGTCGAGGACCTTTTGAGAATGTATGAGATGTTACGCATATATAGATAGATTTGCAGATTGGTTCCATTTGCATCCATTTGGACATTCTGGGGTCCCGGCGCTTCAGGAGAGGCGGGCCAATGTTCTGGCCCTCATGAAGCTACTGGATCAGTCGAAAGCTCAACTTTCACCGCCAGTTGCATATTGCACGCGTGATTTGCCCAGTTGGTATGCGCTGAATGATTCTCAGGCAAGATGTAAAGCCTCCTATGCAGTCATTGGATCAAAAGCACGGGGCTACCTTGCCTCGGATGCGAGGCAGACCGGCGTTGAGTTTTCAGTCAAGTCCCTTACCGACAACGCTTTTCAGGTCACGTACTTTTCATGTGCGCCGCGATAATATTTTTTCAGAAAATTCATGTTCTCGGGACAGCCACTTCTCTGCGAATTGAACCGATTGAACTACTGA